GAAGAAAAATAGCATCAACATACTGTCGATTCTGCACCCAATGCCATTTGACTTGGGTATCAATTATGATTCCGACATTGGGTAACCACAAACCTGTATACAGATTTGAAGCAAAAATGGCAGTTAAAATCGGATGGATTGTAACCTATGTGTTAGAGTACAAAACTTCAGTCCTCGAGTTACTAGCTCGCTTCCCTACATACCTAAAAAGATTGAAAGGGCTTGGACCGCTTTACTATGAAGAGTTTGAGTTTTTTCCTGGTGTGGATATGAAATTAACATGTTTTAATGCTTTAAATGCTTTATGCTTTAACACAATAATTGGAATTGCACAGTGTTTCATAGCCAACCGAAATCTTGGCCGAATTAACGATTTACGAAGTATTTTGACCTTAAATACCGACTTTTTCATAAAGCTATTAATGAAAATTTAGGTTGAAATGCATATCCTTAAATGTAAGGTGACACTGTCCATTTTAAAAAATAAATGAAGAGAGGGGCAGATGAAAAAAAGACATATTTGAACCCAAGATGTCCCCTTTGATATTAATAATTAAGTAATGTTAAGACCAGTAAACCGCTTATAACATATTCCATGCATGGTAAGCGACTGCTTATCTGTCAAGTAGGCAGGAGGCGAACGCCTAAGTAGCAGGACCATTTGTCTTAAAATCAGAATATGAATACGATTAAAGAATTTGGTCTTTCAGTTTAAATAGAAATCTACCGAATAGACAAATCCTTTGTTATCCACCAATTATTAGACCCATAAAATTTTTGTTCGAGCTAATTTGGCCTACAGCTTAGTTCTTTAGATTTTATCTGTAAAGTTACACAAAGTTTCTTATAAAGCTGTAGGAAAAGAAAATACACATGGCTAATTAAAAAAAAAATAAAATGTATTGACTTTATGCCAGTGCATTTGTTTTTACACTGCATTCGACAATTTAAATGATGTCTCTAGAGAGAGCCTGCCAAGTTGTATAAAACATGGTAGAATCGTTGCGTGAAACGAGCGAAGAGACCAAGGGACTGACCACGTACCTGATTTGCCCGTAAAAATATTTCCTGACAAACAAACAAAGACCGCATATTTGTATATGCCTACACTTTATTAACTCCAAAAGGGTATTTTGATAATATACAAATTTCCCTATTCTTAGGATGGGACTGAAATAAACATCTGGGGCTAAACTCTTTTACATAATCAAAGCTGGGACTACACGGCTAATAATGATTTCCAATAATGATATTAACAATGTCAGTCCACACTGTAGCTAGTCTCCAATTTCCATAAAAAAAAACAATAAATTAATATTGTCGGGACCACATAAGTTTGCAGTTGAGGGAGGAGCCTATTTACCATATGGGTTTGAATGAACCAATGAGAACCGTGCGGTGTTGCCAAATCTAATAATACCAGCTGATTTGAAAATATTGCTTAGTATATTTTATTAGTGCGATGTGGCAACATTGCACTAGCCTTGTCTTGTGATTGGCTGCCACCAACTGCAAACTTACGTGGTCCCGACAATAAAAATATCCATGGGTGTCAACAGAAATCACGCAAAATACAGGATGGTAACTATGATCGAATCAAATTACATTCGCAAGTCCGTAAACATACGTATAAGTACAACACTTAAAAAAGTAAATAAAACTGAACCATTGTTTAGAAGGTTATTATTGCATGATTGATTGTTTGGAGAATTGATGACATAACTGATAGAAAACTATTTTGGTGTTAAATCATAACTACAAAGTTTTCTTTTGGAATACCTGATAGGTTTATTCTCATATGGATACATACTACATAGGCCTATCACATGCAATTATTATTCCATTGCTCATCCTTAAAAGTATTGTGTATTGTTATTGTTGTCGGTTTATTAACTACAGCTGCACAGCTTCCTATGTATTCATAGAATACGTAACTAAATACGCGATGAAGAAATATTGCGGTTTGCCAAATTAATAGGAAGATAACTTCTCCTGTCCCAAACGAATTCTGGTAATTAATATTTCTAATTTAATTTCATGTATATAAAATTAGTCTATTTTAAATGTTTGTGATACGTCAACTATTAGTTTTGTGCAAATTAGAAAGTAAATAAATTAAAAGGTATAGGTAGAGAAATTTGTATGTTAAACTAACATCTTAAAATTAATTAATAGAAGTTCCTTTTAAACTTTGGGTTTATTTACAATAGTGCTTTTTTGTATTATTATTATAATCTTTGTTGATATTTCAACAACAAGCTGCATGTGTTCTATTCTAATAATCTTAAGGTGTTCAATAAGTCACTATAATAAGTATAATCAATTTCATTAAAATTTTAAAGGAAATAATTTAATTGGTTATTAGGTTTGACAGAAGACAAAGAAAACAAAATCAAGAGCCTATTCCTTCAAAAATACGTTATTGATTTGTTCCAGCTTAAAGAATAATGCTTTATTCAAGAATTCTTCAATCCAAGCCAAAGTAAACGAAACGTCGCTTAAAGAAGTTCTCAACTAACTACAAGTTGTCTAAGATTCCTGCAATGTTTTATTTATCAGGACAAACTTAGAGAAAGGAACATTTCAAAGTAACGTCTGACGATTATGGCTCACAGAATCTCTAGTTTAAATGACAAATTGTTAATTTTATCTCTTATTTTGCACGAGACAATCTGGACGTTGTTGATGAGTTGTTCTTTTGATTTGATTCATCTACCGACTAATTACAGCTTTCCCAGTGATTCTCTTCTTAAACCATCTTCAAAGTGAAATATTATCAGACGGTTCTTTGTAAAGCTGACACTGTTCTTGTGATTTGTTATCTTGATTATAATTCTAGAATGCAACAACTTCCAATTATAATCATGATTATTAAACAAATTGTAAATTATTGTGATTCCGGGCGAAGTTAAAAGTGAAATAAACCCTTTCGTTTCTGAATGACACCAGCTATTACTTTTACGCCACACTAGACTATTTTGACGAACTTCCCACGCAAGGATTTAGTCCAGAAAACAGCTGTTTGCCGCCAGCTTAATCAAATGGGGTTTCATTGCGTACTACTGTACTGTAATGAGTTTTACCGGACACCGATCAGGTGATTATACTGTATTTGGGTAACAATGAGTAGTTATAAACAAAAACATAACCTCTCTTAGAGGTTATGACTAGTGATTTGTAGTCCTTTAGTTGGTAGTAATATATAAGGATTTGTACAGATTTAGTAGTATGGCGTAAACTATCGTACGTCACTCATCCAAAATGTGTTTACCGGACTCGTATGGTAATCCCGTACTCGACTTCGTCTCGCACGAGAACGACCACACTCGTCCGGTAAACACTTATTTTCAGGACTAGTAACGTAATATACTATTTCAAAACTCATTGTATAGGAACTCATTTTAACTCATGGTATAGGAGACTACTTTCCCTCCTGGCCAGCTCCGTACAAACGATAAAACAATTCTCTGTACTCACCTACCTTGGCATTGCTTGCCTGACGTGGTTGTATTTGTTCCAGAAGTAGATGCACGGGGGTTCTATGAGTCAGTGTTTGATGGTATATGAGACTACTTTCCCTCCTGGCCAGCTCCATATAAACGGGACAACGATCCTCCGTACTCATCTACCTTGGCACTGCTTGCCTGACGTAGTTGTATTTGTTCCAGAAGTAGATGCACGGGGGTTCTATGAGTCAGTGTTTGATGGTATAGGAGACTACAATCCCTCCTGGCCAGCTCCATATAAACGGGACAACGATCCTCCGTACTCATCTACCTTGGCACTGCTTGCCTGACGTGGTTGTATTTGTTTCAGAAGTAGATGCACGGGGGTTCTATGAGTCAGTGTTTGATGGTATATGAGACTACTTTCCCTCCTGGCCAGCTCCATATAAACGGGACAACGATCCTCCGTACTCATCTACCTTGGCACTGCTTGCCTGACGTAGTTGTATTTGTTCCAGAAGTAGATGCACGGGGGTTCTATGAGTCAGTGTTTGATGGTATAGGAGACTACAATCCCTCCTGGCCAGCTCCGTACAAACGAGACAACGATCCTCCGTACTCATCTACCTTGGCACTGCTTGCCTGACGTAGTTGTGTTTGTTCCAGAAGTAGATGCATGGGGGTTCCAAGAGTCAGTGTTTGATGGTATAGGAGACTACTTTCCCTCCTGGCCAGCTCCGTACAAACGAGACAACGATCCTTCGTACTCACCTACCTTGGCATAGCTTGCCTGACGTGGTTGTATTTGTTCCAGAAGTAGATGCACGAGGGTTCCATGAGTCAGTGTTTGATGGTATAGGAGACGACTTTCCCTCCTGGCAAGCTCCGTACAAACGAGACAACGATTCTCTGTACTCATCTACCATGGCATTGCTTGCCTGACGTGGTTGTATTTGTTCCAGAAGTAGATGCACGGGGGTTCCATGAGTCAGTGTTTGATGGTATAGGAGACGACTTTCCCTCCTGGCCAGCTCCGTACAAACGAGACAACGATCCTTCGTACTCACCTACCTTGGCATAGCTTGCCTGACGTGGTTGTATTTGTTCCAGAAGTAGATGCACGGGGGTTCCATGAGTCAGTGTTTGATGGTATAGGAGACGACTTTCCCTCCTGGCCAGCTCCGTACAAACGAGACAACGATTATCTGTACTCATTTACCATGGAATTGCTTGCCTGACGTGGTTGCATTTGTTCCAGAAGTAGATGCACGGGGGTTCCATGAGTCAGTGCTTGATGGTATAGGAGACGACTTTCCCTCCTGGCCAGCTCCGTACAAACGAGACAACAATTCTCTGTTCTCATCTACCTTGGCATTGCTTGCCTGACGTGGTTGTATTTGTTCCAGAAGTAGATGCACAGGGGTTCCATGAGTCAGTGTTTGATGGTATAGGAGACTACTTTCCCTCCTGGCCAGCTCCGTACAAACGAGACAACGATTCTCTGTACTCATCTACCATGGCATTGCTTGTCTGACGTGGTTGTATTTGTTCCAGAAGTAGATGCACGGGGGTTCCATGAGTCAGTGTTTGATGGTATAGGAGACTACTTTCCCTCCTGGCCAGCTCCGTACAAACGAGACAACGATCCTCCTTACTCACCTACCTTGGCACAGCGTTTGGGTCTTCGTCCTCATAATCGATTTAGGTAAATTAATAAAAACAGTAACCAAGTAATAAACTAACATCTTATTCGTCAGTCTCGAGGTTTATCAAAGGTTGTTTGGAGTTTGGACTATTAAAAATCAACCTCAACCTTTGCAACCTATCACAAATCTCTTTTGTTGAAAAGTTATTATAGACTCGTCATACAAACACGTTAAATTTTTTTTTACTTTGTGATTAGTAGGTTTGGTGAACTTGTAACATCTAAAGATTATATTTATAGTTTTTTTTTCGTATTCCGGTTACCTATCAATTGAAAATTTATTTTATTGAATCTGTTGTCCCGAGAAGGACATTTTGTATCCCAAAACCCTTGTATGTTTAAAAATCTGAAAAAATATTATTTATAGGCATAAAATCTGTCAGACTCGAAATTCATTTACTTTCTAGCATAATGTCGGAAGAAAACATTTCTTTATGATCAAATGTAATAGTCTATCGAATAAACCTTTAGTGTTTATAACCCTTCCAAGAGGAAAAAGTAGTTTATATTTCTAATAAGCTATTGTTTGCTATTTTATGTAATTTTGTCATTGGAACACCATCTGTTAGTAAACCAATCTTTGTGCCACAGACAAAACCAATAGTTTACTGTCTACTGTATAATTTATGGATAAAGCCTGAATGCAAAATTTTGTTTGTATAAGCCTGAAAACATGTTATAGAGGGAGAACTGAGCTTAAGATAAATCTGCAGGATTACATTGTTCTCAGCCACAATTATTATTGGTTAAACAAAGCAAACTAACGGTTTCCATTAAGATTAAATTCCAATATATCAAAACATAACAGCATTTTGTATGGTAAATTGATAGTATTGAGATATCAATTTAAATCTTCACTTGTATTCTCATTTCATTTAGAAGTACTATTTTATTTAATTTCAATGTTGCCGAAAAAAATAAAATAATAATGTTTAACTTGTGTATAGACTGTGCTTTTTACAAGTGCTTAGTAAAACCTAAATAAATGTTTTAAATATAAAAATTAATTATTAATATTAAACGTACTGACTGAACTAACAAGAAATAGGGTTTAAATATTTAAAATTGAATTAATTATCTAGTTACTTTTAAAAAAGTGGCTTGAAATAATCATTTACGAGATCATGTTTAAAACAATAGTGTTTATTTCGTGTCATTCTTTACGGTTTTACCGTTCAGAGTTTTTAGAAAACAAAAAACTTAAAACGTGCATTGATTGATTAAAGGGTTTTTACATAAAAATATCATTTGTAAAGACCTCACAATCAATAAAAGTTTAATAGAAAGTCTACGTCCAAATGACGAATATATTTTTGTTGTACAAATGTTTACATTTGAATTTGTAAATTTATATTATTGATACGCCTTTTCAAGGAATCGACATATTTCTCAAGTAGTATGTTTCAGTTGTTTAAGTCTTTTATGGCTTTATTGTTTACTTAAGAAAACCGTTTATAGTTAAACTATTCAATATTAACCAAAGATACGTATAAAATTATGCAATAAAGATTTAAGTCGGGAAAACTCTTTGTAAACGTGTTTCTCCACATTGTAGATTCTGTAGAGTATCGACTGGTGTCAAATAAATGTTCCTAGCTCTCCTAGGGTAGGGTAAACATACTTTCATTTTAGTCTATTCCTTACAAATATTATTATTTAACAGTGTTTTAAATTAAGGGACACGTTTAATTAAGGAAATCGTATACTAATCAGAGGATCAAATTGAAAAAGAAGTTGTATTATATGTGTTCTCTGATCGTTTCGTACTTAAGTTCAAATTACCAATCAAACGAAAAAGCCCACTTTCTAAAAAAAAAAAATACTACAAACTGCATTGCCGACGTTGGTTTTGGTGGTAGGTGCTGCCACTAGTGGTGTATCCTCTAACTACCACAAGTTTAATCGATGTTTCCACTACAACCTGTGGAGTGTTTGTTTACTTCCGTAAGGGGGTGGGAACCCCCTCCCCACCATACCACAACACCCCTTAGAACTCATCGCGAATCGCGATCTTTGATGGGTTAGAAATTCCCTCAACTATCAACATTATATATCCGTTTCCATCGTGAACAATGAAATACATTTTTTAAGTAACATATTCTATGTCATTGGCATAATGAAATAAAATAATTTTTTGAAAAGTCAAAAACGAATTACGATAGAAAGAACTTACTTAATACCATGACAATGAATATTTCGTTCCATAACATTACTAGCTTGCGTGGGCTCATTTAAGGGCAATGTTATATCAATACAAGTAGTATTACTCGTTAAGTAGTGTTTATTATGTAAATTGGTGTACAAGCTTTTCAGTAAAATTAAACATTTGTATAAGTCATCTAATAACTCCTGCTAATAACTCTTGAGATCGTAATTCCCCACTATCCCCTTTCTAGTGAATCCCCACGGAAATTTCAACTGTGAACTTTAACGATGGACTAAGTTAAAAGTAACAAAAATTATTTCCGACATATCCCTTTTTCGAGTTCATGGTATGGTATATTTGATATCTTTCATTCATTATTCACTTTCATTGTTATCAAAACTACCGTATCCAACCAGTTGTATTGTAGCCAACTATGAAATACTTAACTATTTTCAAAGTAGGTTTCCTTATATAAAATTTTGTTACAGGAAAAGATCCAATTCGTGGAGTGAACAAGAGGAACTTAAGAAAAAGTTGGACAAGTTGTATTCATCAAACTCATTGCAAAGCTCTAACATCGCAGCAAATGACAACACGGACTCAGCAGGTATATATGAAAGACTGGCAGAAAACAAGACTGAACGACCATCGAAGAGACTTTCTAAAAGAGAAGCTCATTCCCCACCGAACGATATCAATGGGAAATCACTTGTTTGGTTGAAACAAAATAAAGCAAACGATGAGGTAGGATGCAATGAAAACTATTGTGATATTAACAAACGATCAGGGGCTAGATATGTGAGAGGGATGGAAATGGGGTCGTCTGGGTTTCATGGTGACGTTTTCAGCAGGGACTTTGGAGATTTCAGTACGATGAAGAAAAGATTGAAAGGATCTCTAGGATTCCACGGAGACACGTTTTCAGGTGGGTTTGGAGACTTTGAGACTATGAAACGAGCACATGATCACAAAGACTTGGTTTCCAAGCTTAAGGATTTTATGAGAATCATATCAACGGACAAAGACGATGAAAATTATGTAAACGTTGATTCGGAGGATGATCTTGTGAGGAAAACTATTGATGAAATTGACGCAATCAAGTCAAGAAAACCAGAGATTGCTTCAATGGTAGATCATGGGGATTCTTTCAATGGTGAGTTTGGGGACTTATACCCTATTAAAAAAAGGAAAGCAATGGGGTCAATGGGGTTCCACGGGGACACTTTCAGTCAAGGGTTTGGAGACTTTGATACATATAAGAAGCGAGCACCTGCTGGAGCTATGGGGTTTCATGGTGATACATTCAGTCAAGGCTTTGGGGATTTCGATCCTTACAAGAAAAGAGCTCCTTCTGGAGCCATGGGTTTTCATGGAGACACATTTAGTCAAGGCTTTGGGGATTTTGATCCATACAAGAAAAGGGCTCCTTCCGGATCCATGGGGTTTCATGGAGACACATTCAGTCAGGGCTTTGGGGATTTTGATCCTTACAAGAAAAGGGCTCCTTCCGGATCCATGGGGTTTCATGGAGACACGTTTAGTCAAGGCTTTGGGGATTTTGATCCTTACAAGAAAAGGGCTCCTTCCGGGTCCATGGGGTTCCATGGAGACACGTTTAGTCAAGGCTTTGGGGATTTTGATCCTTACAAGAAAAGGGCTCCTTCCGGATCCATGGGGTTTCATGGAGACACGTTTAGTCAAGGCTTTGGGGATTTTGATACATACAAGAAAAGGGCTCCATTGGGAGCAATGGGATTTCATGGTGATACTTTTAGTCAAGGTTTTGGAGACTTTGACCCATATAAGAAAAGGGCCCCGTCAGGTGCCATGGGATTTCATGGAGACACCTTTAGTCAAGGGTTTGGAGACTTTGATCCATACAAGAAAAGAGCTCCTTTGGGTGCTATGGGATTCCATGGTGACACCTTCAGCCAAGGGTTCGGAGATTTCGACACTTATAAAAAACGAAGACCCATGGGATCTATGGGATTTCATGGAGACACTTTCAGTCAAGGGTTTGGTGACTTTGATACAGTAAAGAAAAGAAAACCTAATGGGGGATCTATGGGATTTCATGGAGACACCTTTAGTCAGGGATTCGGTGATTTCGATCCTCTGAAAAAACGAAAATCTGAAATGGATTTATCAACATCCCATGGAGAATCGATCAAAAGGAAAAGGAGTGTTCGAACAGCCAGCCCAGAAACATACAACACTGAAGAAGAAAAGACTGAGGACAAGAAGTGTTGTTCGGATTCCAGTATTCAGAGGCATCAAGAAGTGCACTAGTTACCAGATGTTACCCTTTAATAAACTCGATGTGGTTTATTTTCTCTCTTCTCGACCACTTTACTCTAAAACTGTTGTATTCAATAAAATTGATTATTTTATTAAGTGTCTACTACTTCGTTCTTTGCTAATCCTGACCGATGACGATTGTAAATTTTGATGTCCATGTTTTCAATTTGTATTTAATAAGACTGGTAAAAAAGGTAAAAATACTATCTATACTTTAAAGTGTTTATCATACAAATTGGTGTGGCAGATCATGTCCAGCAGTATCATGGCTGCTGGGCTGGTCCATTCTTCCATACCAGGAGGTCGGTGTCCTCCCAGTTCCTTATCTTCTCTCCAATATTGTCAAATATTTGTACCTACCTATACCTTTACCTATACTTTAACTTATACCTTTATCCTACACTTGTCAGAGGTTTTACTTAAAATTTACAGCTAAGAGATATTTTTTAAATTTTTCTTTTGGAGACTTTCATTACTTTTGGTGTGCTTTAAACCTCATGTTGCTCGTGATCCGTAAAGATAAAACATCCTTGTAAAACCTTTGAAATCTAGTAGAATAAATTAAAATTTTGTACCTAGTCAGTGCTGGAGCGATATAATTATACAAGCATATGTTTCTCTAAGAGTGAGCAAACATGGTACACCAAGTATTTAAAATGTCACCTGGCGATCTTGTTTCACTATTAAGACTGAAGTGATGAATTTGGTTTCAATTTGACTTGAAGAGCTTTATGATGTTTTTCCAATGCATTAGTAGCTTCATGCTAATAGGATTGCTTGACCTTTTGCGATATCACAGTATTCTTTTCCATTTCAGTCAAATACACATAAAAAACCACCAAGGAAATTTGAAAAAAAACTTTGAATTGAGGAAATGTTTGATGAGACAAAAAAGTTGGACACAAAGCCATACTATAAAGTCTTTCTGCTATTTACTCGTATAGGAAGTTGTTTGTCTCAAAGATTATAAAATCCATAAGATTATATCTTCAATTGATTGTTCTAAACTTCAACATACTATTATTACTCTTTCTTTGACGGTTACTCATCACACAATTACTAAAAAAGTGATATACTCGTATTTCGGGTTTTTATCAAAACCCATCCTCAGCCTCTGATAACAAATTAATTCAAAACACTACGTTCACCAGGAGCAGAGCTACTCTCTATGACATTATGAGAATAATGGTAAGTGCTTGGTAAGAGAACAGTATAAAAACAACGAAGTAGTGTCGTTGTTATAATGTTTACTTTGTCCCATTGCTGCGATATTAATTCTGTACAAGCAAAAGTTGCATTTTTCTTTCAGCTTGAACAGTAAAAACAGTAAAAAAGTTCCCTGTTTTCTGGTATTCAAACCACTAAAACAAAAAAAAAATATCTAAACCTCAATAGTGTAGCATATGGTTGGAAAGCTTATACAATGGCGCAGTTTTTAACGTGTTCCGACCCTTTCTTGTATGCAGGGTGTGAAAAATGCAATAGACCATTGTTTTTTTTTTTTTTAATTTTTACCAAACATCTTAATTGTTATCTTTGAATCTATTTACAATAGAAATTTACAACTGATCGTCCGTATTTTTGTATTATTCTTGTTAAAAATTTAATGTAGAACACGAAAATGACATTATCTACTCAAATCCATGTACAGGTAATTGAGAAATCGCTGTATTAAGTTTAAAAGCATGGTTATTTTTGAAAAATATAATATAATATTTTGGGAAGCTAATTTTTAGACTTAGAACATTTGATATGCATCATCACACTTCATTTACTTTGTACTTACACTAAAAAGATTTTGTCACACTTAGTACCAATCACCCTTTATATTTTTTTTTAATTTGTATGTACGATTTTCAAACTCTTAAAAGGAAACGTAAGTTTTGGCTTGTTTGTAAATGTTGTTAAAAGCTTTCTTCGACACCCACCCTGAGGGTGGGCACATCAAGTATCAGCTGTAAAACTCTGTCAGCGTCACTCTGGCATGCATATCACTTAAGAATTCAAATGTTTCTAAACACTAAAATGTCGTTAAAATGTTTTTCTGTAAGACCCGGTTCTAGAGCAAACATTTTGTCTCAAATTCATGTAAACTTTATGACATATTTTTTGACGGATTTCTGTAATAAGATATGAAAATCTAGACTGGTGGGGGTTTTGTTACTACCTAAGGTTTATTATTGATTGAGTATAATATCATTGATTGAGAGCTAAATTTCATCAACATTAAGTTTGGTTCAATCTTCACACACACCACTGTACTGTGATTCCTTAGTAATCAATCTATACAATTATTGTGAAAAAAATGTAAAAAAGAGTATTTTTTTAAGAAATATTTTTTGTTCCTTATTTATACAATGTACAACACAAAGATACAGTTCACACAAGGAACGATAACCACAATATGTTAGAACCTATGTCAGTGGATACAATAACACTTGCTAAATTTCTTAAATATCGGAGAGCTATGTTTGTATGGTGATCTATACATCGGCAAAATTTATTGAATGAGACTGTTGACATGGTGCAAGAAAAAACAAATATTTCATTTTGACATCATTATATTGACGCTTTATTTTAATGAATAAGTGACACACTAGTCCAGGCAACGAAGCCAATTTACCAGTAAAAATTCATGTACTGTATAAGCCAAATTTGGCGTGGGGCTCCAAAGGTCAGTAGTACCCCTTAGCTCCACCCCCCACGGGTCAGTACTTTTAGTATGTTGTTTAAGGGCCCTTCTCCTACAACTGTACCAAATTTGGCTTATACATGAAGTTTCCTCTATTTGGTATGTTTTTGGTCTTCGTTGCCTGGATTATACTTAAAATATTTCCATATTGAACCTAGACCAATATTTAAAAGCACATTTGCTAATAGGCTACAACAAGATATGACCGAGTATAGGTTTCTATTAATTATACACTCTAATCTTTATTTTATAGGTATGACTTGTTCCCTATGACAGATTCTATTGTCTATGACTGTCAACTTGTGGTATATACCACTGGTATACTGGTATTATGTGTACAGTGCTGCAAGGTTATCTCTATATGATTATCAATGTGTGGCCTCAAATGCATCTCTATTTGACTGACGAATTGTGGTATATACTACTGGTTTTACTAGTATGAGGTGTACAGTGCTGTAAGTTCGTCTATATTTGACTGCCACAATGGTATTTATACCGTCGGTATACTAAAATAAAGTGTATATTGTGGAAGGTGTCACACTTTGACAGTCACATTGTTTTATGGTATACGACTGGTATACTCTTATGACGTGTAAAAGGGGACAGCTTCTACAGTCATTTTGTGATATACACCACTGGTATACTGGTATTAGGTATACAGTGCGGCAGGTTCCACGATCATTGTGCGAAGTGGCGTCATCCTGTTGGCACCCTCCTCTAACAAGTCCTTCCTCTCTGGCCATTATCTGATTGGGACATCCTACCCTTGTCACCCCCTCCACCACTACCAGGATCAGGACGCAGGACACAGGACGCTGCTACCTGCTTAGTCCTTAGAGCTGGTGGTCCTGGAAGAGCGTGACGAAAAGTTATTTTTCGCATTTCTTTTTTACAATCGTGATGGAAAATGACCGCAATAAACCTTTGAACATTGAAGTTCAAACAAAGAATTGATTTCAAACTGTTCTCAAGCTCATATAAAATTCACCCCTTGATGTGAAATGTGTGTCATTAAAATTAAGAGTAGATTCAACAATAGTAGTTAACGCAACGATTGCGTAAAGATAGTGTTAACGACAAAATTTAAGGCACGAGCCTTGGCGAGTGCCTTAAAAACTTCTACGAGTGTCGTTAACACTATTTACGCGAGTTGCGTACACTACTTTACCTACGACGGTGTTTTAATTACTAAAATCACTACTCATAACTTCTAAGAGAGGTTATGTTTTTGTTTATAACCTCTAATTGCCACTGACAGTTATGCAACGAAACATTGTATCAAATACTAATCGCACCAATCAACAATTAAATTGACCTGAACAGCTGATTAGTTGAATTTCGAATCATTACAGTTTTGCTTCTCCTCTCTCAATCCTTGAACCTCATTGTTTCGTTACCCGTGTTGTTATGAGTAAAACTATGATGTTATGAATGTAAACAATGCTGTTATGAGATACTTTTCAAATCTAAGAACTGTACTGAAACGGCTACTTTAAAAAACGGTCGTAGGTAAAACATTTAACGAATCAGTTTTCCGTTAAATATTATTTAATGTATTACTACTGTTTAACGGATCTTCAATATAAATGTAGCTAATTTCTAATAGTAATTTTATTACTGTTGGTTTTTAAATTGTTAGTCCTCCAGTATTAATGTATTATTGAAAATGCAGGATTTTTTTGCGTCAAAATTTTTGCAAAGTAATAAGCTGTTAATATTGATTTAAAATAGTTTATCTGTATTAATGGTTAGCATCTTGGTCCTTTAGGAGTGAGAGGTGAGAGTAGTGGGTTCTTTTCTCCGCGTATTCTCAACATGTGGGGGTTTGGACCTGAAAACCATTAGTGTTCAACAATTCATAGTGCCACTAAGTTAAAGCTCATTCCCTTCGTAAATAGTGATGATGTAATAAGTAATTTATAAAAAATGCATTATATAGTCCTTTGAATTGCAAACAAAATGGTACAAACCCCATCTTCGCAAAAATTGCGGTTCATAAGTTATTGCAACTTATGTTATTTTCCCATAAAACCCCTATTAAAAAAACAATCGGATTTTATTAAAAAGACGGGTTTGATTAAAATTCATGTGTTATGGCCCTTATAGTAAAACAAATAGTGCGACCACCCAATTGCTGAAAGTTATTGCAGCTTGGACATTTTCCCTATAAAATATCATAGTTACCCATGATAAAGGTTGTTCACAAGCTAATGGAAGAAAGTATGTCATATTGCTGATACTGTTCATTGTAATTTGTTACAATAATCCTTGGTACCCAAACACCATATGTAATCATAATAAAAATTTGTTAGCTTAGGCCTAGTGTAATAGTTATATAAAATGTAATAATTTATCCAGAACAGTATTCCTGGTAAACATGTTATAAAAGACTTAAGTATGAGATATGGTCGTAATATCTATTACATTAAAACTCTCATAAAACTCTTTACGTACAAAAAACTGTTATTGACAATTTAAAAATTAAATGTATATCTGTGGACATTACGCCTGAAAAAGGCATGATTACGATGACGTTCACAACTTTAAAACGGTTATATGTAAAGATAAACAAACTACAAATTCAAAAGAGGTTAAAATTGCCTTTTAATTGATTGTGAAATGATCAAGGGATTCATCAAACGCGTTCTCTCTAAAGTTGTTTCACGTAAATTAAATTGTGTAATAAATTAAAGCCCAAGATTGGTGCAAATTAGGAGCAAATATTTAGAAGTTAGAGTTCAACAAGTGGTTGTGTAAAACCAAACTTTTCTGTTTCAAATAACTTTTAAAACAACATTAATTTCCATATTAAATGAGTCACAAAATAAACAGTTATTTGGAAAATCTAATACCGACGAGACAGTGCGGTTATTGTTAAGAATACATAACGAACAATATTTTATTACCTATCTGTCTAAATTCAATGCGTAAATAAACAAATATATTATTCGGATAACAGGTATGATAGTTCTTAAAGCAAACAAACTAATGTCTGCTTAATCAAATGCTACCTGTATCAATAATGGTATACTGTATATGGTATTGCAGATACATTAATCTAAGTGTCACAAAGGGTAGCATATATTTATTGAATTTGTATATAAGTATATGTGGAAAACATTTGCATGATATTAATATCCTTAATATTACCAAAGAGGGCGTGGTACAAACAGTACCTTAATTCAATTAATTAGTTCATTCGTGCATCTACTTCACATAGTGTTTTGATACCAATACAAAACATTGTGGCAAAACTATAAAGCCTCTAAATAATCTGTAAGTATTAGAACATTTTTGGTTTTTACGATCCACGTCATCATAGGGCGCTAGTTTCTAGCCCGAGCTTGATTTACTATTACTTCAAGTAAGTCCTAGAGGGTTGTGGCACATTTTGAAAAGCCATGGTCGTTATGAAGATCCGGATATTTGAGACCGGTAAGCGAAGGTTCAAGACTATTTGTTTACATAATAAAGAAATGTGAACATTGTATAGGCAAAAGTCTAGACATCTACTAAGAGGTTTGGACTGAGCAAAGATGAGTCATCTGAATAAATTATTTTAGATAGTATATTTATAAAACATCAGTTAAAAGCATTAAGCTCTAACGATCTTCCTGTTTTCCATTCTATTTATAACACACGCAGAAAAAATAATTTCACAAAGGGCTCAAATGTTACAATTTGATTAGACGACGGCACCAGTGCCGCGAACTCCTCCCCGCCCCAGTAGTTTTACGAATTGTGGGGTTGCATTGCATGGACCAACCTTCATCCCTTCAGATCCATCTACCCAAACGGATCTGCTACCAATTACAGTTCAGTGTTAGTGTCTAGCATACACCACAAGTCATCACTAATTTGCCAAACCGCAAATAAAAGTGTGAAACATTCTGCTGACACTAGTTACTGGATGCGAGATTATTGTTGTGTGATTGTTACTATTGACAGTCCATCCCCATCAAACACGGATAAGAATGACTAAGCTACACCTCTGACAGTTGACCATTGAGGTTTACAATAATGGCTCGTTGGTAAAGACGCTCAAGAAACGTCGTGAATCAATTTTGAAGTACTCCTTGCCCCACTCCCTAACCCGCACCAAAGGAATGTTGATCGTTTTCTACCTAAGTAAACTCTACCATTTGATACTCTCCAGCAGTCCAGCACACTTATGGGATAAACATAATTGTTTACTTATAAATTTGCCAAAACCCCCAAACCTTTATAACAGCCAACTTCATGCCACCAAGTCACAACAACCCCCCAAACATATTTTTCCCAAAACATTTCGAACAACTTCTTTTATGTGTGCCAACAGAGAAAATCCTTTTCTATTCCTGAAGCTAAACGTCATTGCAAACGTGATATCCCGGATAGATGGTCCAGGTAGCACGCTCTGCGGCAGGAAGAGTCAATGATGTGTCCGAGGGGGGCTCGGGGGGCGCCTGCGTACAGGGGCGCTACTCACGGCCCACCGTGGACAACACGCTCTGTCGCTCTGTCAGGCTGACATCGATTTGTACCATGGACAAGTGCGAGAGTGCGTGTGTGTGCGCGTAGCTATGTCGACCGTGACAGCAACCGCGCCGGCCAAAGACAATAATGACGAATCTCCTAAGAATCTGTAAGTAACGGACACTCTTATGTGGATATTTTGTAAAGTTTAAAGTTTTTTTGTGTTTTGGGAGAAGAAATATAAAATTGTGAAATATTGTGTAATACAAGTGTAAAACCAATGTGAGTGTCAAAACAACTGATAGTGACAAACACAACAGGTTTTTAAAGTTGTTTATAGTAGTTTCAACTGAGCAAATTTCTAATAATGTCATAAAATATAATTTTAGTTAAATTTCCGGTTCACTATTCAAACAAAATTGTTTAATCATAAACTTCTATTAAATCATAATTATAATAAATAAACCGAATATCAGTTTTATTTTTAGTTTTATACAATTTTGTATGTTAAAAAATGTAAATGTGGAAAATGTAACACAGACTATTTTTTATTTGCATAAAATTCGTCGTCAAATGTCACACGGCTCTCATTTGCGTTACATTGTCCCCGTTAATTTTCCTTCCTCAGAACTCACTTTACTTGTTGAACATTTTACGCTTCTTCAAATAACACTTTATATAATCCTCGTTAAATATACTTTGCTTCTACAATTGAACACCATAGACAATTTGTCATTTCCCAAACAATGTAACTGTTCTTAAGCAGTTTGTAATTATTTCCTCCCCTTTCAAACTGGCAAGTTGTTATTATTTTCGGTCAAATTTAAACATTAAACAACTAATAAGTTTGACAAAACGCAAAATCTAACCCTCATACCTTGCACGAGTAGCAATGCTAAATCAATATGTCCCTTAACGTAACTGGGCAGATATGTTAAATGTGGTACATCAGCACGTTTCGAACCCCCTCGCCTAACCTTTAAGGGGGGTTTTACGCCTCACTCATCCCTTATTCCACCCCATACCATTGTAATGGGGGGGGGTTAAAAGCACCCTAAAAGCCATTGTTGATATCGCTCTCACTTCATTGTTATCATGTTTGAAATTTGGGATTCACATCTTCTCCATTTTGCGCCTGAAAACTGTATAATTTTTAAACACCCTTAGTCCAATCAATAGTATGCCAAAAATATTTGTTAGGAAATTCCTACGCTGATAATTTTAATGCAGTTTTGCCTGCAATTATATATATATACAACCTTATTGTAATGAGTTAAATTGATCTCAAATCACAAAACTATATATTTGTGTTTAATTTCTAGAAACACATATTATTATTTGGATCTTTGAAGATTAAGTTTAAATTTCGTTCTTAATATTTATGACTGTACCACTGAACACGTAGTTAGGATTAAATTGTGAACGTCCAATTCCACCTACATAGAAATTACAAAATAATAGCCTCTACGTGACAAGGACTGCTAAGTTTGACTGGAAGAGTTTTTACGAAAAGCCAGGAGACATTAATTTATTTAATTTATTATTTTCGCTTCAAACGTGAGACTTAAACTACTTTTACCCATACAAGGAGGATACATTATAAGATGTTACTGATCGCATTACAACCTACAATTTAAATAAACAACTTTTTATGTTTAAGTGTTGTCTTAAAATTATAGATTTTACGATCCAAGCCCATACTTAAATTCACCTAGAATAAGAAATATTGTGAACAAGGAATATAAATTAGAAATACAACAAAGAACACGTCTAGGTTATAACAATATATATTAAGTGTTTATCGATGCCAGTAATTATTTTCCAGTCCATAAACTCGAGTTGTAAATCAAATTTATACGGTTAAAGTTTCTGGCGAAACTTGCACATTCCAGTTCTAAAGCTATTTTCAATTATTACTACAAGAATTTAGATGTTTAAGTTTTGTACTAACTTTTCTCATATACGTAAAGCATCGATTCTCCTTAAATTGTGTAAATACATGCTCCTCAACTTGCTAAACCTATATTTTACCGCAACAACGCTTGCTTGGGAATAATTGGATCACCTTTTTATTAGGATACTGTATTATATAAAGCTGTACGATTATATAATTGTCAATGTAACTATGAATATATTCTATATTGGGAGAGTAATATAACTAATTTTATGATTTAGTTGACTGAAATTTACACAACGATCTAGGCATGATTACCCATTATATGTTTTAATGCGAGATAGATTAAAATATAAATATAACAAGGAGGTATGACATATGGTCTAATTCATTCACTTTTTTTCAACAAATAAAAAAAGTAATTATGGTTGTGGTGAGTGCGCCAATAGACTGTTCAAAACCAGCTTGACAATGATTTGTTTAAAAAATATATTAATTTAGGTTTTGTTTATTCCAATAAATTTCCATAGTTTCCAAATTAGTTCATTCCTGGTTTTTGTACTTTATAAATTTATGTTTTTGTCATAATTATTAAATTCTATTTGCTGTCTGATTCTTAAATCGTTTTATCATAAAAGTAACAATCATAGTTAAAGAAGATTACCTACTTCTTCAATTGTGTTTAAAATAGATATCAGGGAAATAGTTTTAATGTATTAAAATATGTAATCGGACTTTTAAAAAGAAGTTGTATCTTTTTTATCGTTAGGAAGTTGGGTGATTCAGTACCTAGTTGAATGTCAAATACAATCCCAGATTGATTAAATAGTTATTTGTGCAACTAGTGAGAAAAGTTAGCAATTGACTCACTCGAGAGAAATCCTTACTCATGAGCCGTAGGCGAGTGTGGAATGGTTTCTCGAGTGAGGCAATTGTACTTTGAACTCGAGTTGCACATTATACTTTTCCTACAGTTACCATAAAACAAATAAATTAGCGAAGAAACATAACCTATTTTTACACAGAAGTGGACTTTTAATATAACATTTAATGTGAAGTGACAAATACAACAGTACAACAGCTGACCAGCTGATTTACAGCCAGTGCTGCCAACGTATTTCGCGCGCATACGACGTTGCCTGCATGTTACGCGCCCGCTATTTCGTGCCTTCACGTTGCAAATCTGGAGTGAGACAAAGTAATTAGAGTGAGACAATGTTGTCTCACTGATGAGCGAATTGGCCACTTTGCTTTCTCAAATCAGTGAGAGAACATGTACATTGTTAGGTAACTGTAGGAAAACTATATTGTAAAGGTGAATTAAATAAATAACGAAAACTGCTGATGTGCATCTAAAGCCTGTAAAAATAACGCTTGATAATCATCACTTCACATGTAGTTTTGAGTAGTGGTGAACTAGCAAAGATACCCCACTTTAGGCACGTTTTCCCCATAAGAATAACATGGGGATCATTTTTTGGCCACCAATTCCAAAAATCCTGATCTTTGCCTAAATATCCCTATATAATTGTTAAACCTTATTTCTTACTTATTCCCTATATATATTTGATATTAAGCAAAAAAAAATTATTGACCCATGCATGTGTATATGTATAGTAGTATAGGTTGTCGCCGCCGTTTTTTGGGGGTCGAGGTTTTTTGAGCCAACTCCCCGCCCATGCCTAATTGCTAGTACATCTAACATTCCCCTTTCTAGTTGATATGTTGATATGTTGTAGTCTATATTTCTGTCTTATCTATATATATTAGTTGTATGAGTTGTTTAATATTTTCATTTCTTTGTCTTTTGGGATATACCTCTTAAACTTACTCTTGGGCCTATACAAGCCTATATAAATGTACAACTCCATATCTATCCTACTAATATTATAAATGAGAAAGTTTGGATGTATCCTACTAATATTATAAATGAGAAAGTTTGGATGTATAGATGTATGGATGTATGGATGTATGTTTGTGACAAGTGAACGCGAAAAATACTGGTCGGATTGGGCTGAAATTTGGCATGATGATAGCTCACATTCCCGATTAACATATAGGCATATTCTTATTTCAAAAATCCTTTCGGGCTCCGCCCCAGTGGCTCTGGAGTTTCCCATGTTAACCTTATGAGAAATGGAATTATTGAATCTTAACAGCTGTTTCAACTAAACAAGTTGGTTCTGTTCTATGATGTTCAATAGCATTAAAGTTACAAGGATTACCAACAGGGTGCAGCACTATTATTTCTTTTACATTTATGTCAACAGCTAATTTGCAACCAAAAGGTGAGTGAGCGTAGCGAACGAACTTCAACCTGGAGGCGAGTTAGCGTAGCGAACGAGCTCCAAACTAAAGGTGAGTGAGCGTAGCGAACGAGGTCCAACCTAAAGGTGAATGAGCGTAGCGAACAAACTTCAACCAGGACGTGATTGAGCCATGCGAACGAGATAATCTTGAAAATTAAGAAGTTAAACGGGGCAAAGCCCGCGGGTTACAGCTAGTATTGTATAATTTCAAATCCATCTCCAACACCCATTCACATGTATATTCTCAAAATCATCAACTTGACAGTGCGAGGTTTGTACGCGAACTCGGCCGTGCTCCCGGCTCATGGCGTGCCCCTGGCTCACGGGCAAGCTCCTGCTTCTTGCTCCTTGTCCCTAGTGGTAGCTCTTGATTGAGTCCTGGGTGGGAAACCTCCTGTTGAAGTAATTTCTTAATTAAAAAAAAATTATAAATTTCAAAATGTTTAAAGTTAAATTTTGTAAATTAAAAATGTTAAAGTTAAATTTTATAAATTAAAATGTCTAAAGTTAAATTTTATAAATTAAAATTTTCTAAATTTATAATTTTATAAATTAAAGTTTTATAAATTTATAATTTTATAAATTAAAATTTTCTAAATTTATAATTTTATAAATTAAAATTTTTAAAATTTATAATTTTATAAAAATTTGGAAATTTCCCAAAAGTCTATATATAGAGGTGGCATCAGCCCGAGACCTCATTCCTAAACATGAAGCCGTCATGTCAACACTGCTCCGTGTCGCTCTCCACTAAAAGCAACCTGATTCGTCACTATAAGGTAATGCATCAAATGAATGTGAAACTGTGCAAGGTTTGTGATTTAATCTGTGATAATAACTTGGCTCTAAAATCGCATATATTACAAAGTCACAAGAGTTGTAATTTTTGTAAGAAAAATGTTGTTGGACATTTTAGAAGACATGTCAATTCTTGTAACAAATGTCCATACACAATGATTAAATTTG